GGTTTTTTTTAAAAAAAAAAAAAAAAGTTGGGGGGAATAAAATTGTGGGAATGTACCTGGCTAGCTCTAAACTGGGGATTAGGGTTGGGGGAGAAGCTTTCAAGGCAGGCAAGCCTTTTTAAAAAAATAGACAAAGGGAGGGATTTATTTATTATCAGCCTTTAGTTCGGGGACTCAAGAGAGTGTATGCGTACTGCCTTCTCCAATTACTTTCCCTCAACAACATGCCCTGTGAGAGAGTGTCTGGCCCAAAGTCACCCAGTGAGCTTCCATGGCTAGAACTGGACTTGAACCTAAGAATCTCCAGTGCCAATTCAGCATCTTAACCACTGCAGTCCATTTAATGTGTGCACATATGTCTAGCAAGCAGCAAAGCTAACAATACCAGCTTTGCCCAAAGAAGCAAGAAGGCCTAATTTGGGGGTAAAGGGAGCTTTGTGGAAGAAATCTTATTTTAAATCAGAAGGGAGCGGTTTCAAAAGCATGAGAATGGGAAGGGGGAATCCCCCCATCTCTCTGTCTGAGTAAAATCACCATCCATCCCACTACACTGAATCGAAGTTGAAACTAAAAGAAATATATGTTGGCATTCGGGCTGTGGAGGCTGTTTCAGGAACAGGTGAGCAACCAGATACTCTCCACAACAGAGCACCACGCCAGCAGAAGCGACAACCCAGCACTGAGCCCAATGGTCTCTCGCAGCAATTTTTTCCTCCAACTTTTCTACAGGCATTCTTTAACTTTTCTACAGGCCTTCTTCAATGGCCCTTTGATCCAGAACACCTCCCTCTCTACGCCGTGTGCTCCTGAAATGCCTGTTGCTTTGCTCCAACACTTCATAGAGCTCCACCGAACCTAAGCCAAGAGCAGCACGGATACGACCAAACTTTTCCAACCACATCCTTTAAAATAGAACACTCAAAATACTTTCTACCTGAAACAACCATGGTTTTTTCTGTGTTTTATCCAAAACAAACAAACAAAAAAAACCCCCTCCAAAATATGTGATTTTCTAATGCATAAACTACACAAAACAGATGTTTCATGCTCAGAGCAGCTCATGCTTGAAATGTTTTTCACCCAACCTTAAGGCTGCAATTCCAGCCTTTCCCTTCCTCCTGCTAACTGACCGTTCCATACATTACAAAAGGTGGTAATTCATTCAAACGAGTTTGTTTTTCTGTTCATTTCTTTATTATTAAGTATCTATAAATCACTTGATGGTCCACCGAGACTTTCAAATATAATATAATAAATTACATCAAATTAAAGGCAAACAGCTTTAAAACAAAAACCAGAGCAAAACAATATTAACATTAATCATTGTTCATTAAAACCCCAGTGAAACAATATGATTTTCTGCATTTCTTAATTTCAGTAGGGATTGGAGCAACTTTCAAAAGCCCCACAGTTGCCACAGAAAAGTTTCTTCATACTCGTTAACCTAATCTCTCTTAGTGATAGGTCACAGCACAGCGATTATGATAAAGAAGGTATGTAAGGGCAGATTTATACAAGCAGTAACATCTTCTCTGATATTCTACCACTAACCTGTGTAGGACTTCCAAAACCAGAACAGAGACCTAGGCTCAGAAACTAATGGGAAGCAAGTATAGTTGGTTCAAGACTGGTGATATATTTTCTCTGAACCTTACATCTATCTACAAATCTCTGGTCTGAACTGAACCTGTGTGTCTATCTAATCCCTCTCTGTGGCCAGAATCAGGGTTTCTATAACTTCCAAATCATCAGTTATTAAAGACTGCTGGGTATTATCTCCATAGGGAAAAGACGCCACAGCAAAGTTGTGGATGTCCTCTTTTCCTAGGAGGAGAGACAATACAGCATCCTGAGGACCTCCATAAACCAAGGACATGAGGCTAAGCAATAATCTCACAAGATTATCTAGTGAGACTTTATGGTCACATAGAACTGAAAGCACCACAAACAGTATCCAAAAACCCATACAGCCAAATGTCCTAGAAAGGTACCATGACCTAGAACAGGAACAGACCATGTCTTTAAAAAAAAATCCCCAGGTGGCCAGATGTAAAGTCAAATAATGAACCAGGGCCACAAACACACAGTTCTCTTTGCACAGACAGAGAAACATTTTTTCATCCCAGAAAGGAAAGATTGTGTGCCTCCCCCTCTGCCAAACCACTGTTTAGCCAACTGAGAGGAGTATGGGGGAAGGAGCTTCCTCCCCCACCAATCTTGGTTATATCAGATCACAACAGCAAGAGCAGCAGCTTTTAAAGCAGCTTACATGAGAGGCATTTCAAGCAATATCTTCTCCTTCCTCCACTCTCTTATAACTTCCTCACTAAGGGCACATCCACGCAAGGGCTCTGCCAGTCCGAAAGCAGCTCCAGAGCTCTGGATTCCAACCAGGTCAGCAATGCTATGGGAGAGCTGAGACCATTCATTTCCAGCTCACCTGTACTGGAAATCCATGTTATGGTTTTAAAGATACTGTAGCTCCACTTCCCACAGAAGAAAAATCTTGCCTTACCCCTTCTATGGGTCCTAAGCATTAGGACCTATAAAGATACTGCTAGTTTGACAGCTTTGCAGCTCCCCTTCAGGAGCCAAGACAAAATGAGCAAAGCTAAACAGCAGTTTGTCAGTTCTACTTGTCTCTTCTGTCCAGAGAAACCATCTTATTCTTTTTTTCCTCCTTCCCCTTCTTGTGGAGTTGGATAAGGAGATTTTGTGCCTGCAAGTCTTTACTGCTGGTTCTCAGTATTACAAACTGAGATGTTGCTTCAAATTGCTGCTGAGGGTACAGGAATGGAAATAGGGGAAGGATGGAAATTCATCATGAAGTCCTGGAGCCTGGTTCATCCTCTGACTTCCCTCTTTCAGCCAGGTTCCAATTAGCGTTCAAGGAGGAAAGGCTAAGTCTCTCCCCCATCCTCCCACCCCGACTTCTAACAAAGCACTACAAATGGCCCCTCCTTAAAAAGACCCTTAAGGACTGTTCTAGAATACCAGATGCTGCTCAGCAGTCCAGTAACATGGTTATCTGACCCACTTCCTGCTACAGCTTACTCACAAAAGGTGGACTTTCTTCCAATCCTGCTTGACACCAAATAGGAATGAATCCAAAGAAAGCTTGAAGTGGTCCTGCTGCTACTATTCATTTTGATATGACAGGTAACAGGAAAATTGGGAAAAAGCCAGCACTGAGCGTAGGAAAGAGGCTGACCGTGCCATCTATTCACCAGATGGCTTTATTGCTCCTCTCTTTAAGATAGGAAAAATAATGACCCCCCAATTTTTTAAAAAATCTCATTTACATACTACTGTGTTATGATGAATACAAAACATCATCCTTGCCTTCACTGGTCTTCATCCATGAAGGAAATAAAGTCTTCCCAGACTTACTTGGAACAGTACAAGAGAGAAGCTGTTCTAAAAGAAGTAATCTGGAAACAGCCTTTCAGTGGATCCTCTGCTGTGAAAGAACAAGGCTCAAGTCTAATTTAGCAGCTACTCAAGGAGCAATGAAGAACCAGTGGCCCTCTGGATGGGGCTGAACTGCCAGCATCCCTCATGCTTTGCCACACTGGCTGGGGCTGCTGGAAGCTGTTGTTCAGCAACTTCTGGCAGTCCACAGGATCCACAAGCTTGGCAATATAGAGTAAAATAGTTCTTGAGCCAACACTTCACTGATCTGATAACATTCAGCTGCAATTTTTTGGAGCGGGGAGGGGGTGGGAGAACTGCAGAAGCTCCTTTGGATACAGCAGAGAATTTCTCCTTTTATTAACAGCAACAACAAAAGAAAATGAAGTGTGACACAGAAGAAATACATAACCTTTCTGCATCTACCAACCTATTGGAAGACAGAAATTCAGCATGTCTCCACTGCATATTCCTTACCAGCACATGTCCAACTTTGTTTTTTTCTGATTCCATCACCCTCTGCCAGTGACTGGCAGCTCATTACAGAACCGGTCCCTGTTACTTGTCCATGGATCATCAAAATGTCACCAACATTAGCCAATTCATTCCTATAAGAAAGCAACAACCAAGTTAATCTTTGTGGTTTTTATAGCTCGCTGATGCTGGGGATAAAACTATGTATTCTAAAAATGCACATGGATTTTTACTGCAATTATGCAATAGTTATCTTTTGATTATATGACAAAAATGTATCTTAATGTGCGTTCAAGACATGACCCATTATTTCACGCAAGGCTTGCAATACGAAGTATGAAGTATACTGGCTGGCAAAGTGTTCCCCAGTATTGCAAACAAAATACCTTCACATGCTCACTAGCTTGGGTAACCCAGCGTATCACACACACGCTACAACTGCCGATGAAATGCTTAAACAAGGCAATGAAAGAAGTGTGCACGTGGAATTTTCAAATTCAGTAGATCTCTCTCTTGGATCATACACTGGATTCCCTCCCCCATCCACATATATTGTTTTAGTGCTTGACAAAAGGCAGAACTGCTCTGCAAAAGCAGTCTATCTTTAATAACGTATCTTACCATTGTTTTTCCTTGCATTGGGAATCCCAGGAGGATGAAAAATACATATAGAAGAGAAGGGTAGTTTCCATTGGAAGCACCTTCCAATGACTGTACTTGGCTTAAGACTGCTAGACATTTTGGACCCTTTAATTTTATTCTGACCTTTGCATCAGTCCTTACCTCCTTAGGAATCATATTTTGCTCTCATAATCTTCAGATCTCTTCTCTCCATGCCAGACCTCAAAGAGGTGATACCACCTTACCTTTCCCTCTTCAAGGCAGTCTCTATATACATTCCCTTCCTTTCCACATTAAAATAAACTGCCAACTATTTACATCTTCTTTTGAATTTCATCTATGTTTTTCTTCTGCTGCTGCTGCAATATATATCTATCTGTGAATGAACACTTACTCAGTGGTGCTGAAATAACTCAGGAAGACACTTAAGAGGTTCTCTAATGTACGTCAGAAAGGTGGGGGTTTTTTTGTTTGATTTGGGAGGGGGGTTGGTAGCACTTGAGCCATGCCTTGTCAATGCAAATATAAATAAAATTAAAAAAACAGTCCTCTGACCTGGTAAGAGTCTACAAAAGGACATAAACCATCAATGTAGCAAAGTTCCAAGTTGTTTTGTGTTTCTCCTTACAGACCTTTGGTTCACACACAACAGAAAGATACTGCAGCAACACTTAGTTAATACAAAGCACGGGTTTTCGTTGCAGGATATACAGTACCGCATTCTCATTTAATGCTTTCAGTATCTTACATTCAGGTTTTACTCTGGTATGAATTGCTTTCCTGAGGTAGCTCTGTTTACAGTCATATTTTTCTAACAGGTTGATGCAGCAAGTGAATGGTGTTAGTTTTCTACTCTAATAAACTACATTAAAGCTTTACTCAGAGGTGGGCTATCTAGAGCAATTTTCTGAACCAAGCCTCCTCCAAATGTGATGGCCTACAACTCCCATAATCCTGACTGTCTGAAGATGATGGACTGCCAGCCTCCTCTCAATATGAAAAGTGCAGGTTGAGAGGGGCTATAAAAATCTAGATACCACTCAGTGGCAAGGAAGAGACCCAGAAAACTCTAAATTCTCTGCTGCTGTTTGGTAAACTTGGATTTCAGCAGTCCACATCAGGCAGCCCTAATGGACTGCCAGGAGGTTATATATTAAAGAGAAATCTCTCACTAGCACACAGATCAGGCACCAATTATCTCTGGCTAGCCTTGAGCTAGGAAATACCTTCCCCAAATTTCCAACTGCTTTGCCTTAGAATTCTGGTATCTGATAGTCTCCAGATCTCAAACTAACTGGAAGTAGCAAAAGGCTGCCCTCAGACTTCATTTCAGTCCTTTTTTAAATTGTAGGATCAGGTACCATTAAACAAAAGCGTACCCCTGAACACATACAGAGTATTTTCTCACCATGAGGTAACCAAAGCCTAACAAATATGCATCTCCACTGCGGTGTGGGAAATCTCTAGCTCCTTTTCTTTTGGGGTGGGGGGGAGAACGGAGGACAATGATTATTAGTAAATCAACAGATTAGACGGAGCGAACCGAATACCAACATCCCTCATGATCAGCTCAGAAGGAATACTAATTCTGTATCTTACCACTGCAGGAAGAGAAGCCCGGGCGCCCACATTCAGGGTGCGGCTGACCACTTAGTGACTGGCTGCATCTTGTCTGTCGTGCCTCGTAACTACAGAAGCGACCGCGCTAGAAAGGAGCACGCTACCTTGACCGTCCGCTCTCGCCCTTTGGGGCGCCCTGTCCCTTACAAGTCTTGTGTGCGGCTTGGCGCTGCTTGGCGAAGTTACCGTCCCGGGAGCAGCGAGCGAAAAGCAAGGAAGGCGAGAAGTCCAAAGGCACGAACTCAGCCACCGGCTTCGATCCCTCCCGCTGCGCTGCTTCTCCCCGGGAGGAAACGCCGCGCGCTCTGCCTGCTTTTCGCCCCGCGCGGCCAATCACAGCGCGCTCGCTGCCGGGAGCCTTCCTCCGCTCCAGAAGGAAAGAGGCGGAGGAGGAGGAAGACGAAGAAGCAGCGGGAGCGAAGCGCTCTGCACCTGGAGGCGCGCGCGGCCCCCCGCCCGCGCTGCGTTCTCACGCCTCCGGAGCGGCGGGGCCTTCGATGACTCCTTGTCCCGGGTCGGCCGCTCTGCCGGCGATCGGGAGCCGGTCTTGCGGAGCGCCCTCCTCGCCCGCCAACACTAAACTGACAGCTGGCTGGGCTGGCGCCGAAGGGGTGCGCGCTCTTCGGTTCCCTTCGTGCGAACGCTGCTCCCAACTTACCGGAGCCGACGCTACCCGCAGTAATCCTGTAGGCTACAGGAAGAAATGCAACAGGTGCGGACTCTCTGGCTCGTCCTTCGCAGCTTAGTTCCCGGGCAGGTTTACTCCAAAGCTCGCCTCGCTGTGTCTCTTCCCCAAGCAGAAAAGGACATTCGTGAAAGTGAAACGGGACAGCTCAAAAACGAATTGCCCTGAATTCATATCATATTATTAAGGGGGAGAGGACCTGTGTCCTTCCAGAAGTTGTGGAAACAATTCCCAGCTTTCTAAGTTAACCTAACTGGGAATGGTGGTTCAGTTACATATAGAGGGCTGTACTTCTCGTGCCTAGTGCTAAAGAAAGCTAGTTCATAATTCAGCACAAGGGGTATATGCTATTTTTAAAACAAGGGTTTTCATTTCCGATGGGCCTGTGTGAGCCTGACATGAGGGACCTCGCGATATACACAAAACCACTTAACACTCCTTTTTTTCCTGGGCAGGGAGCTTTGTGGTAGCATGCCTTCTTTGCTCTACTTTTAAGCAGCAAAAGACTCTCCTGAGTGCCAGAAACTCGCATGACTAGCACTTAGCAGTCTTGCCTTCTTTTCAGAAAGAAATCACCAGAGTTCAGTCGTTTTTTTTTAACAGACATGCAAGCAAAGGGTAACAAGCTTCATAACAGTTTTATAAGCCGCTTATCTTTGCCTTTATCAGGTCCAATAATTCATCACAGTCTCCAGTTAATTCCCTTCCTCTCTCATTTGGTGTACTGTTTTCTGTCTTAAGCAGCAAAGTGTTCTTTGTTGTTCCTCTCTCCTGTCAGGGACAGCACCTTTACAAACCAATGGTTTTCATACTCCAAGTTAACCTCTATAAAGAGAGCTAGTCTACCCTCCACCACAGAAGCTTGCTGGATGATTTGTGGCCACTTCCTCTCAGCCCAGCCTACCTCATAGGTTCGTTGTGGGGAAAAACACACTTTGTCATGCACTGAGTTATAAGCGCATATGTGTGTGTGCTTTCTTGGCAATGTTTTTCAGAAGTGGTTTGCCATTGCCTCCTTCCAAGGGCTGAGAGAGAGTGACTGGCCCAAGGTCACCCAGCTGGCTTTGTGCCTAGGCAGGACTAGAACTCACGATCTCCCCATTTCTAGCCTGGTGCCTTAACCACTACACCAAACTGCCTTTCATTAAGTGCATACCAAATACTAAATGTATTGCCTAATTTCCTACCGTGCTTCCTCAGTTGTACCCTCAGTTTGGCTCACAGTCTGCACAACCTCAGAGCTTTGGTCAAGAACGGAAGCGAAAATGCTATTGGCAGAAAGCAGCCAACGCTTACGATAAAGCTGGCACCCTCGTGCTGTAAGAAGGAGCTTAACAGGTCTTACAAAAGAGTCCTAGCCTGGCAGAAAAGCAGGGCAATCTCAGAAAACCCTCCAGTGACCCATCATTTCAGCATATTTTGGTAGTAATAGGGAATAAAGTGATGCTAACATGATTCAAAGGTGACCTTCCAAAGGAGCTAGGTGCCTGAAGTTGTGCAAACATTCTTCCCCATTTACACTTCTGATTGCTGGACCTTGGCAGGACAATGACAGATGTAGCAGAAAGATATTTGCATCAGGTATGTCTGGCAAATTCTTTCGACAGTTAAATAAGAAACCAAATTGCAATCCTTTGCAATGTCTTTGTTCCTGTTGACAGGAAGGCCATTAACCAATCAAGCCATTAACTCTACTCTCAGGCATGGGACCATTCAGCTTATGCTTTTCTTCATTACTCATTGCTTTTGTGGTTTCAGTTTCATACTAGAATATGTCAGGTTTTTTTTAAATACAGCCTTTTCCTGTCCTTTCCAAACTGTCTCTCTCTCTCTCTCTCGCCCACAATTTTTAAAATATTGAACTGTTATAGAAAATACGTAAACAAGTACAATAAAAAATATGAAAAAGAATAATAACACCCCCGCCCTATGGAATACTCTCCCCCCAGAGTTGAGGCAGGTCCTCACTCTCCTGGCCTTCTGGAAAGGGGTGAAGACCTGGCTTTGCCAACTCACATGGGGCGTGAGGAAGGCTAACCTACCGTGGGGGTGGTTCGCACCCTGAAGACACTCCTGTAGGTTAATAACCTCTTATATCATCAGTTCCTTGGATTTATTTATTTATTTATTTATTAAATGTATATGCTT